TCTCCCGGGGATTGATGGTGTTGTCAGACATTCTCTACTCTGCTCAGCGTTGTACAGCCAAGAAGAGCGATTCGAGTGTCAAGGATTGGTAGTCCTGGGTGATATTGGATTGCTGTAGGCAACTGAATAGATCAAGAAGTCTGTATCAACGTATTTGTATTGTATGTAATCGTGTAAATGTGTAACAGCGCGAATCGCTACCGTCGAGAGTTGGTAGGATTCGTGCGGGGTATTATATACCTCAAAAGCGGGGTAAGGATAAAAGATAATCCGATCTGGGCCCAAAGGGCCCAAATGGCTCATGCAGGTAGTGAATCTTCACAGCAGAGGAGTCGTTTACCTTGAATCGAAAGCAGAGTATCGTATTTCGACTTATCTGCCGCCAGCTAGACCGGGTCCACCGCGACGAGTCCGGAGTTCCCCAGCTCTGCCAATTTATTGGAGGTGAGGGCGGGACGGGAAAATCACGGATCATCGGAGCGGTCGCGGCGCTGTTCGCGAGGAAGGGGATCCCGCACCGCCTACTGGTTACAGCGACCTCGGGAACGGCGGTAGCCAATATTGATGGGGTCACTATCCATTCCGCGTGCGGGTTCTCGAAAGACACGACTCGGTCGGTGGGTCGGAGTACGGACCTGGAGAGATTCGCGCCTAGGAGTTCAACTAATCTCCGCGTCGATGGACGAAGCCGGGCCGTATGGCAGGAAAAGCTCCTGCTCATTATCGACGAGGTCAGTATACTGGGTGCGCGGACGCTATATATAGTAAACGAACAGCTGTACCGACTTCGAGGGTATGCGGACGACTTTAGCGGGATCCCGATTATCGTGTTCTGCGGGGATTTCCGCCAGTTCCGCCCGGTCCAGGAGCGGTCCATCCTTCTCCCCAGCCAAGTTATTGCGTAGACCGACGATACAGCTTTCCGAGCAGAGCAGAGGCACCAGCACGATAAAGCGCACGCGCTGTGGAACAAGTTTACTACGGTCGTGATGCTCGACGAACAAGTCCGTGCCGCCGGAGATCCACGACTCCAGCAACTCCTCAGGCGGATCCGGCACGGCGTACAAGATCAGTCCGATATGGATTTTCTGAACGACACGTGCTACCAGGAAGGTCGACGTATCCCATGGGAGTCCGGCATCACGGTTATCACGCCGCTGAATCGGAACCGCTGGAATCTGAACGTCGAAGCCACGCTGTCCTTCCAACGCCAAAGGCAAAGCGTGCTTCGGATTTTCATGTCCGAGCACAAGTGGAAAGATGGCCAGCCTACGGAGGAGGAGGCCCTAATGCTGTTAAGTCAGGGGGACGACAGCGCCATCCCCGTCCCCGCTATCTTTATGTTCGTCCAGGGGATGCCCATCACCGTAAATCAAAACACCCACCAAGGCCTGAAGCTGGTCAATGGCGCCCGCTATACGGCGTTAGACGTCATCCTCGACCTGAAATTCCCCGGGCATCGCGTCAACGCCGATACCATGCTCCACTTCGGGCCTCCGGCCGGGATCGTGCTGGCGTCCGAGACGACGAGAGACTACGATTTCGTGGGCATGCCAGCCGGCACCATCCTCCTGGCACCCGTCAGTGTCAAAATCGACTCCCAGAGAAAGCGGCCGTGGCAGATGCACGACGTCAGCCGGCGAGGATTACCGTGCGCAGCGGCGTTCGCCTCCACGGATTATAAGGTGTAAGGAAAGACGTTAGACCGAGTGGCGCTAGAACTTCGCGGCGCGAGGACGACGAACATCGATGGCTAGGCCGTTCCCAGTTAATGCGATGCCTACGGCCTATACGTACAACTATCGCGCTGCCCATCCCTAGATGGGATTATGCTTCTGTCTCGAGCGCGAGAAAGGGACATTATCGGTAATCGAGTGCCCGAGACTATGGTCGCCGCCGAGAATAGGCTAGAACGGCTGAGCGAGGGGATGATTCAAGACGCGGAACGTTGGGACTGGTCAACAGAAGAGGGATGGACGGTACATTAAGGGGAAGTAAACGCGGCCTAGATATACAAAGTAGATTGGCTAGCAGAGCGCAAATAGAGCGAGAGACATTGAAAACCGACCCTTTGTAACATTGATCGCTTAATGATGGGGAGACTTCGCCTCTTTTTTTTCCCTCGCATCCCTCCTCTTTTTCTCGAGTCTTTATGATCGGAGTCAGTCTTGACAATCAGAGTCAAGTCTCAACGATCGGATTGAGTCCCGACGATCGGACTCAGTCAGGCGCGGGGTCAGAATCAGGCGGTGTCAGCGAACGGCGAGTGAACGATGCCGAGCGTGTAGTTTCATAGCTCGTTAGAATCATATCATACGGGCTAAATCGGGCGGCGATCGCGATGTCGACGAAGGTTGGGGTGAAGGAACGGAAATCACGTGAAACTCACGTGAATATCATGTGATTTAAGTTTGAGTTGGGAGAAAAGTTGGCCCTCAGGCGTCCACAAAGACCTTACGGAACTTCGTTCCTCCAGGCACTCAGACCTTACGGCACTTCGTTCCTCCAGGCACTTCGTTCCTCCAGGCACTAGACACAAGGCAACCATCATGTAATTAGTCATCCTAGCTAGTTCCCCACATGGGCCTCACAGAGAGGCCTGACGGGCGTATGAATCTCTCTCTCTCTCTCTCTAAGATCTTTTCCGTCCTTTGCTAAGCACCGCCAAAGACTAAAAGGCTTTGAATATTGATTCTGCCAAACCCACGCCGGCGCAATAGTTCCCGGCCACGGTGAACCGGAAACTCGGCCACGGTCATTATGCTGACATCATCGGAGCCGATTCCATCTTTATCCAGAAGCTGTAACACCGCACAGAGCGTCTTCCCGGTGGAGAGTACATCGTCTACCACTACCACGAAACCCCCCCTGGGTAGGACATCCCGTTCCATTTCGATCCGCTTCTCCGTCGAATCGTTGGATTCTAAAGAAGAGATATGCGATGAGAGCTTGATAACCGACACGGTGGGTGGAGGGAGCTTGCCAGCGCCCCGAGTCAGCACCAATGGCACATTGACCCACGAGGCCAACGCCGACGCATAGACAAACCCGCCGGCCTCGCAACACACCACCGCATCGACTTTGGCCCAGTCACCGGCGAAGTGGGTTTTCAGCAGCGACGTACACAGGGCCAGCCCACCGGGCTTCTGGGAGATGCCGAGCACGTGACAGAACTCGATGCCGAGCACGTGACAGAACTCGATGCCTTGGCGCGGGTAGTCGGGTATCTGGCGCACCATGTCGGCCAGTCGCTGCAGGTCCTCGTGGAGGAAGGGAAGCAGGTATCGTTCGGCAAACCGTGTTGCCGCCTTATTCCCGGTCGTGTCGTTGTCGATGGTGAAACTATGACAGTAATCCCAAGCTGTTGAACTCGACTTGCGACTGTTGTTGTCCTTGTTGTCGTCACCGTAGTCATCACCACCGTTGTCACCGATGTGGCACCCTCGGCGAACCCGCCGCGTCTGTTCACTCGCTTGGACGTGAACCTCGATAAGCCTGCTGTCTGGCACCAAATGCGACAAGGTTGCGACCGGCGCCTCGTCCCTCATCCCGGTGATTAGCAGCACGTCCACGTCGACGGCGCCAGACACGACGCTCAGAAAATGTTCCTGTGGCAGCCGAGGACGTTGCCGCGCCCGTTCTCGGAAATATGTCGTGAGCGCCGGGCGGTGCTGCTCCTTGTAGGCACGGTTCCCAAGCAGGAGGCTCAAGTCGGCACCGGTAGCCGCCGCGTATTCTCGCTTGATCGCATCGCTAATGCTGACCGCACGCGCCGTGAGGCTTTTGTGAGCGCTTTTCATGAACACGGAGACCCAGACGTCGGCACAATAGTCCTTGCCGGCGCAGCTTTCGCCCGTGACAAGAATGATAAGCTTCTGTTGCATCTGCACTTTCGGGAGTGGGCAGGCATAAGCCAGTACATTACGCGGGTCCAAGCTGTGTTTGAGACGGGCCAGGCGCGGCCGGTTCGGTCCAAAAGCCTTGGCCGCCAGCACGGCGTCTCTGGGGTCCGGCCCAAGGTCGGCGCCGTAAGCTCCGCTACTCAGGGACAACAAGTCCCCGGCGACGTTGTAAACCCACCGCACGGCAGATAGTGCGGCTTCGGTACCATCTTGGTCGCAGGGCCAGACACCAGTTATCACGCAGGCAAAGTCCCAGTCCCGACAGCCGAAAGCAGTGGCATCGGCCGCAACGTCGCCGACCGCTCCGCCACCTTGCAAGAGATGGAGATAGCAGAGTGGCGAGGGACGAGTCCCAACGGCCGCCACCAATCGGTCGGCGACGTTCGCTTCTCCGATGTTTTTTAAAAATAAACATCTCTTGAACGAGGAGGTCTTGCCGCTGCCGTGCCCGCCGTGCATCCCGGACATGTACATCTCGCCCTCAAACAAACCGATGCCGTCTACGGCCTTGGAATCGTCTCCCGGCCCCCAAATTTCACCTACAGGCGTGAGCGTGGGTTTTGCAGAGGTGAGCCTTGTCGTGAAAGATTCGAACATGGTCATGCCAAGACGCAGCTGGCCAGCGTCCCAGTACAGATACGCGTCTGCAGAACAGCTCCGGGGGAGCTTCCTGGCGACGAGTTTATCAAAGTCACTGAGTCTGAACCGGGCCTCGAGGTTGTCACTTAGCGGGACAACCCAGTTTCGAGTCAGGTAGGTCGGAGCTGTGTAAGCCTTGAAAATCACACTGACCACGATGCCAAAGTTGGTCCCGGCGCCTTTCATCGCCCATAATAGATCGGGTTCGTTATCTGGGCGAACGGCACCGGCCGGCCGGTGTTGGCTTGGTACATGGCCGACGCAGAGGACCTGGCTAGAGTCGACGCTAACCATAATGGCACCTACAATGGCGTCGCACGCGAGCCCATACAACCTAGCCAGGTGCCCGATGCCGCCTTGTAGCCACAGCCCCGCACCGACACTTGGGCGAGCCCCTAGGGGCACTGTCACACCCGCCGCCATGGCCTTGCGGACGATATCCACCGTCTTGCAGCCGGCCTCGGCGACGACCAAGGAACCAGAATCGGAACCAGAATCCCCTCCATCCTCCCCCGCTGAGACAATGTGTACTTGATCAAAGGCGCCCATGTCGACCGAAACAACGTTGGGCCAGAGACAATGGCCGCTGTGACCCCCACCGACGACGGTCAGGCCGACCCCGTGCTTAAGAGCCCATTGAACGCACTGCTGGACGTGTCGGACCTCTGTCGGCCTAATAATCGAGGCGGGGCGGTGAAGGCGAGCCTCCCGGTTTTTAACTATCTTGCCCTCTTTCACCAATGGCACCTGCGCCGTCAGCTCTGGCAACGTGGTCGCATGTTGGGTAAAGGCCGCCATGACGTTGGGCGCGCTGAACAAGAGATGATCTGGATAGGCATCCTCGCGACGGCTCAAGGCGCGGCACACCTTACGCCACTCAACTCGGATAGCCTTGTCCACGTCCACGTCCTGCACGACAAACCCCGCGACGAAAGGAGCAAAACTATCTAGTACCTCGTCGTCATTTGCCACGCGAACGACTCCGGTAGGGAAAGAAGCCGTTCGATAGCACACCAAGCCGTCGAGGTCCAGGGCCCCGTCGCGATGGAAAATCGCGACCACTCCGCCTTGTGGCCGCTTAACAAGCATTTCTAGCGCACGTTCGATCACCCTGTGTTTGGGCTTCATGCCATACATGCTGTGGCAGAATAGGATGATATCGTATTTTTCCTCATCACTCGTACCGGTACCGGTAACGCTACCTATGTTGTCGTCCAGGACGAAGGGAATTCGGTGGATGTCGGGCGCCCTTTCCAGACAGGGCAGCGGGGACTCTGACTCGGGGGCCGAGCTAAGCCATTCTTCCAACCTCGTAGCAAACAAGCCATTGGGCTCGAATGCAGTGTATCTCCTGACCTTCCGTTTTAGACCGCTGGGAAGATGTCCAAGGAGGCTCTTCGGGCCCGGTCCGATTTCTAGTGCCGAGATATGGACACGCGAGTTAACGAGAAGGCTTAGCAGCTGAGATAGTTGAGGGATGATAAAATCCCGGTATGTCACCCATCCCGAGTCTCGGAGCAAGATATCGAAGCCGGCGCTGTACTGTGAGTCGGACAAGGGCTGCTTCGAGGACGATGCCGTTGCTCTGGTTTTTCGCCGAAGGGCCCGCTTTAGGGAGTCAAGGGTGGCCATTTCCGTTCGGCATGAGTGTGCGAGTATTTCGCATTAGGAATGGCGACAATGGTTGATATGGGCCTTATTGAGGTCAACGGCCGTATTGAAGCGGTTTACATCGAGAGGCGAAACCTGCGGCACTATACCTGATTGCAGATACTATGATCCTAGTGCTCTATTCGTCGGATGTCGATCTGAAGCAGACATACGTCCATTATAAATCTGTGAGTAGTCAGTCGAAGCCCAGTCAGATTCTTCCGTGCAGAGTAAAGCAACAGGATAATTGTAGCAGCCGTCATTCTACTATGCATCAGCATCTTTTCCCAGTAACATCTGCGTGAAACATGACCTCGTACACCGTATCGGCATCGGTCTTTCCTATCCTCGACGAAAGAGGCTTTGTTCCTTACGGCACATAATTCCGAAAGAGTGCATCTCCTGACGAGATACACCATAACGGACCCTCGTCCATAAAGAGCGACCGACACATTTGACCTTGTAATTTTTGATGCATTGTGCGTGGTGATGCGCGAATAAGGTCGAATGTCCCACCTCCAGCACCTTGTCAACCTGATTTCAGTCCTACAAGGAAAATGCACACCTTCGCCTTCCCAATCGCGCACATCCAAACCCCCATCCAAGAGTGCTACTCTCACCGCTGACGCTACTTTGGGTACCTAGGGAATCAACTGATCGGAAAAGCAGAAGCAATCGATGGTTGATTGCTATGTTGACACCAAATCTTTTCTGGCGGCGATCTTTCATCGTCGTCATCGCAGAGTGCAAACCAGCAGTGGAATTCCGGTCAGGAATGGGATGATGATACATAGATGACCTAAGGAGGGGTGCATATTTCGCGTCCAATCGCATGGCGACACAAATCAGGCTTGATAGTATGACCCCGCATGCCAATACATGATAACCTGGCTCTACTTACGGATATGTTTGACATTCCCCAGGAACACCCTGCGGCATGGGCAGCGCTTATAAATAGATACGATACGTCGAACGAGGCATGAAGCTTGACTCTTCCTGATACCTGAGCTAAGAGTTCACACAGATGAGCGGCGGAGCGAAGCAGAACGTTCGAATGTAGATGTTATCGAGAGCCTGAAGAGTGGGACAGTACCATTGCCACTAATATTAATAGGATGTATATCACTCTCAGGACTTAAAGGGCCTTACCTAAGTAGATTAACACCGGCGCGAACGCCATTCATAGCAATAACTACGCTGACAGACCATTGCATGATACTACAAATGACACGCTCTATTTCCGATTGATAAGATTCAAGAATTCTTCTCGGGTTTTGGCCATCGACCGCATGCAGCCGAGCATGCAGCTGGTTGTCGTGGTTGCCCCTGTCTTCTGGATGCCACGCGTCACCATACAAAGATGGCTAGACTCCATGACGACAGCAATGCCTTGCGGATAGAGAACCTCGGAAAGGGCGAGAGCTACCTGTTTCGTGAGCCGTTCCTGCACCTGGAGCCGGCGGGAGAACATCTCGGCGATTCTGGCGAGCTTAGAGAGCCCGATCACTCGGCGGTTGGGGATATAGCCAATATGCATCTATTTGAGAGTTAGATGAAGTGCGCAAATACCGGGGTGATTTTTTGCATACTTTTCCGGTGAAGGGCACGAGGTGATGCTCGCACAGGGAGAAGAGTTCGATATCCTTTACGATTACGAGCTCGTCGTGGTCTTCGTGGAATACGGCGCCGTTCACAATTTCGCGCAAGTTTTCTTCGTAGCCTTTCGTAAAGAAGAGGAGCGCTTTTGCATAGCGATCCGGTGTATTCCGTAGGCCTTCACGGTCGGGATCTTCGCCAATGCAGTCCAGTATTTTCCTTACGGCACCGGATAGATTTGACAGCCGCTCTTCCTTCTCCTGCTCGGTAGCTTCCTTCCTCTCACGGGCGCCCTTGCCTTATACTCGTAAGCCATCTTGCCTCCGTGCCGGCGTGCTACTTACTGGGCCAGCTCAAGCCGTTGAAATCGATGTCAGGGTGTTGGGTATACGGGCTTTGAGCACGGCTCGTAGCCAGCGGAGTTTTCGCAGGTCCACCCTCATTGAACCCATCGACGTCGATCTCGCTGTGGTGTCTATCGTACCCGTTCTCGCCGTCCATCTTCGCGCTCGTCGATGTTTTGGTAGTTCAACTTTAGTGAAAGCGGCAAGTCACTGCCACTAGGGAGACCTGTTATGACCATGCCCTATCAGTGGCCAATTCTCCAGGTGTTTTCGGAGAGTTGTCTATGGTCGGAGGCATGGCGAAACGTTAAGTCGGTTCGCAAGGCTGCGGCGCTATATCTACAGTGCCTCATGCAGAAGTATTGATACGTGATTGATTGATCTATCTATGACACGGTCTGGATGCGCAATGTCTGCGATTACCAAGTTCCATTAATCTAAACTGAAGAGAGAGAGAGAGAGAGAGAAGGAATCTCCCGGCACCTTTGTGCGCGAGATAGCGACTCTCCTCTCCAATGCCCTACTGTGTCATGGGCCCAAACCACGAAGGATTTGGTAAGCTGGTAACGCTGTTGAATTGCTAAAGAGAGAAGGAGAAGATCTCTCTTACTGCGATCTGCTATTTACATCTGTGGGCAAACAGTCTACCCATCCCTTCTGCCTTAGGCCGCAAGGCCACAACACACAGACTGGGCGAAGCCCAAGACTGTCACATACTGCTGTTACCATGTTTGTTTGCTTCTCTGATATAATCCACCAGCCACGTCTTTAGCCACAACCAAGGTCCCAGGCTTGGGACCATAACAATGCCCCCTCCTCCGCAAGAAATGGGGATTATCTAGGTTAAGAGGATTGAAGATATCGCACCCTGTCTTCTGTTCGTAATCATCTAGCGCTACTGTATCCTCGATATACTACGCAGCTTCCTACGTCGGTTCCGCATAGCCTTCCCATTTACATAGGAATTCTCTTTTTAACGGTCCTCCTCTACTGTAATGACACGTGACCAACCCTCCGCGCTAATACCATTGGACCATAAAAGATCACAATGATCCCAAACAGGGGTCATTGGGGTTGGAAACCATATATACTAATTCTCTATGTTCTAGTCATGTGACCCTGTCACATGACTACAGGAGGCTTATGTCCTTACAGCCCATGACAATTGATAGCTTTAAGTGCTTGTACTATAATAGTACCCGCCTAGCCTTTTCATTCGTGGCCTAAAGGAGAACCTAGTACTGATCATCCTTGGCAAGTGTCTCGTCCCATAACTCTTCTATATCTATTGTCTCCGTAGTGATTACGTTTACTCTGATCTTCTTCGACGAGTCGTTCTTTAGTGTTATGGTCCCAGGCCTGCGGCCTGTTCCCTTGGTTGTGGCTGAAGACGTGGCTGGTGGATTATATCAGAGAAGCAAACAAACATGGTAACACAGCAGTAGGGCATTGGAGAGGAGAGTCGCTATCTCGCGCACAAAGGTGCCGGGAGATTTCTTCTCTCTCTCTCTCTCTCTCTTCAGTTTAGATTAATGGAACTTGGTAATCGCAGACCTTGCGCATCCAGACCGTGTCAGGGCTATGGTGATACATATGTAGTGGCTTGTGGAAAAGCTGGAATGCGTCTTCAGCGGCCAATCATGATAATACACGTATATGGTGTGTGTGATTGGATAGAAGCCAGAAAAGAAAACATAGTAGAGTAGATATTGCTTACGGTAGAAATAGGTTCAGATCAACTCTGAACAAGCGCGAACCGCCATAGACGCTTGTTTTAACTACTACACAAGTTTGACCGTTGCAGTGATTAAAGTTATTGCTAGGGTATGCCATGCGCATTTGTTGTAAAATATGGATGAGACTATACCAGAGCTAGAGCGTCCACAAATGTCAGACTATTACTTAGCCCTTGGTCTACAGCAAACAGCAACGTTCCAGGACATAAAAAGGGCACACCATTTACTGGCAAAAAAGCATCATCCAGACAAACAAGCTCCAGGGAAGATCACTGATGCTCACGATTTTCGCAGGGTAAGTACTAAGAATTCTAAACAGCAGAGAGAAGCTAAAGCGCCAGGTCAGATTAGGGAGGCCTATGAATGTCTCCGTGATGCTTCAAAGCGCTCGGAATATGACGCATATTACCCACAATTACGAGGAGAATGGGTCCAATATCGCATATGGCAAGAGACACAGCGCCGAAATAAAGAGCTCAGACGAGAAGCCGAGCGGGCACGTAGGATGGCAGAGGAACAACGAGCCGCTAGGGAACAAGCAGAGCAGGATGCAAAAGCAGCAGAGGAAAGGGCGTCACGCAGGAGAGCTGAGGAAGAGCGACTGGCGCGAGACAGGGAATTGAGAGAAAGAATGGCGGAATATCGGTCACGGGAGGTGGCACGAAAGGCTAGGGAAGAACAAGAACATGCGGCGATAGAACGGTTGCACAAACAGAAAGAAATGGAGGCGGAACGAAAGTCTGAAGAGTCTGCGAAGAGAGCAAGACAAGAGCGAGAGATGGCTGCGAAGGAGCGGCTTAAGTCCATATTGATAGAGGAGAAGCAGGACGCAATTCGACAGAATTGGGCAAGCATACGAGAAGCCGCGGAGCGTCGACAAGCCAAGCCAGGGCAACCCGCGACTCAGCATCCTACGAGGGATTGCATTCATCCCCAGCTAGGCTGGCCCAAAAAGAAAGGAGAAGCAAGCTGCATCTTTTGTGGAGAGACTCCCACTAAATTTACTTTTCATTGTCCGGAGTGTAATGCTGCGGCATGTGCTTTATGCAAAAGTACGTACTGTGTATATTAATACTATACAAGGCCACGAGAGAGACAGAGAGATTCATACGCCCGTCAGGCCTCTCGGCGAGGCCCATGTGGGGAACTACCTAAGCTGACTAATTACATACATTGGTACCTTGTGGCCTTGTGCCACCATCTGCATTTTCTATCTTGTCACAGAATATCTGTGTTTCTTGGCGTTTCCCCACGGCTTCATTCCGTATTCGATTCTATACCCCTATTCTTCCCCTTCTTAGGGAAAAGATCACCATTTTAAACCATATAAAATAGCTGCAGGAACAGCCTGTTTTCGTAGGATCCGGCTCTTCAGGATCAAGGTTAATCTTAGGCCTCGGATGGGTGCGGGTTCAACCCGCAAAAAACGGGTTGGGTGCGGGTTCTTGGCAAACCCAAACCCAACCCCACCCGCCGGTTTGCGGGTGGGGTTGGGGTGGGAAGCCAATATTTCAAAACCCCACCCCAACCCCACCCGCACGCCAAGAAACCCCGCCCCAACCCCACCCCATGCCAAGAAACCTTGGGGAACCGCGGGGTGGGGTTTTCTGCGGGTTTAGCCCCAACCGCAAGATGGGTTGGGTTTCTTGGCATAACTAGAGGTACGATCCGGTTGTAGGATAGAATAGGGGATTAAATATAGTAGTCATATGTGGTAGTCAAGTGTGGTAGTCAAGGGAAAGAAATTAATTTCATTCAAAAGTACTCTAATAGAAGAAAACCTATCTATAACCTATTCCGCTTCGAACGGTCTTGAGGTTCACTTGCCATAGTACTACTTCGTGTCCTCTTTGCTACTCCAGCTGTATCGTAATCTTCACCTAACTCATCTAGTGTCTCGTCTGGTTCCCCTAGACCATCGCTCTGATCAGCGTCCCTCCTATCTTCCCCAGTATTAGGATCGCTATCCCTCCCGTCATCCTCAACATCATCCTCACTATCTTCACCGTCGCTGATCAAATGAATTTCCCCTTCACCCGTCGCGCGCAGGATACTATTAGTATGCCTCTTACGAGTGTCCGATTCTATAACCAGTGTGTCTAGCGTAGACGTATCAGCATCACCGATATCACCTAGCTCTTCCTCCAGCTCTTGGAGACGCTCGGATTCTATCTGAAAGTCAAGCTTCAACCTCGCCTTGGCCACCATGATCGCCTCGAGTGTTTCACTCTTATACTCCCGATTGAACTCTGACTGACAGCGAGCAAGGAAAAATAGGCGCTCGACGCCAACGGATGCTGCCGGAGAACAAAGGTAGTCGCGAGCCATCCGAGCAACTGTTGGGTAGGCTATGTAGTTTCCATTCTCGCGCCAAGCTTCGAGAGGTTCAATATTGTTTGACGAGCCTATATTAAAAGATTAGTAAGAGATCGGAGTATGAATAAAGGGGAATATGTACTTACAAGAGTCAAAATATCTTGCTAGCTCGTCCATTGATCGAGAGTTTGAACCCTCGGTGGGCTGAACATCTTGATGCAACCGTTGACGCACATAGTCAATTCCGCGTGTATAAGCTGCTCCCTCTTCTGATTGGGTTGGGTTGTCAACCTTGTAGTGTTCCTCCCAATGATCCCGCAGTCTCCCCATGTAGACTGTTCGGTAATTTTGTCCCCGGTTATTAGCCCTCCCTTTCCAAGCCGATGAAGTGAAAGCAGTATTTCGTGTCCTAGGACTGAGTAGGAAAGAGAACGCGTATGCTTCATCAAGAGCTGTAAAAACACTAGTCCTGCTATAGTACTTCTTCAACTTCTCTACGGCATTCACCAAGCTCTCCTTGAGGCTAATCTTCCACGAAGCATGCTTCTTCTTAAGTCTATCGATCGTAGATTCAAGATGGCCGAATGTAGTATCGTAGATCGTGTAGACTCTGTGGATTGATGGGGACGACGATCTGCCAATTGACTGCGTAAATGCATTTAGTGGAGCGGTCATATCAATAAGGTATTCGATGATATCCCATTGTTGAGGATCGAGGGCCATCGACTGCTTCGAAACCTGACGCCAGTAACGGTCAAGGGGTTGGCGAAGAATGCGGAGTCGAACAAGCATCTGCGTAGTCGAGTCCCATCGTGTTTTGACGTCTTGTAGTGGACGCAGGGGTTGCCGGAGCAGGCTAACCCAGAAGAGCTCCTGTTTGTCCAGGGTCGGGTGTTCCTGGTCGATAAGCTCCTGCTGGATCTTAAGAAAATCTCTCAGTCGTTTCTCCGATGCCACAATGTGTTTAGCGGTCTGTCGAGCCTAGACTATATTAGTAATGACTACCACATTGACTACCACATTTTACAAGGAGTAGAGACTCACCTTCCAAAGTGTAATTGGCACCGCCCCATACGACGCAATTGCGCGCTGCTCCCTCACAAACTCCTTTTCATCCCAGTTTCGGATAATCTCCGAATTCTCCGCCACGCACTTGAGGCCTTTGAGGAGTTCTCCCTGGACCAGCTGAATAACATGGGAGATACAAGGGATTGATACGACCGGGTCTAAGCTTCCATGTGACGACAACAGAAATTTCAACTCGTCGTTGATAGACGCGACCATCGTGCCATTTGACGAAGCATTGTCTGCAGTGATTGAGCGTAGACGGTCAGTAATTCGAAACTTGAGTAGTGTCTGCATGATCATCTCCGCTAGGTCCCGACCGGAATGCCTAGCCTCAGTTGGCGTGAACGCTAAAAGCGCCTCATGCCATTTCATGTCCGTCGAGGTCCAATAGGCGAGAATTCCAAGATAGCCTGTACGGCCAGACTTTGCGGACCAGCCATCGACCGCGAGACCAATTTTCTGTTTGATGCTATCAGGGTGGGCAAGATCATCCCGAGTTGCCTTCGTCGCGGATTCATAGAGAGTGAAGATCCGATTCCGCAGACTCTTTGGGTTACTAAATGGTGGTTCAGTAGTCGTTAGGCAGAGATAGGACCGCTGGACTTCAGGATCCTCGAAGAAGTTCATAGGGATACCCCGAGAAACAATCATTCGAGCCAGACAATCCAAGAAATGCTTCGAGGTAACCCGTTGTCCCTCAAGGAATTGGGCAGCTCGGGTCCTATCAACTCTAGCCTAAACTCTATTAGGGAAAGTGTATATACTAGTTCATATAGTAGTCTCTTACCTTGCGCCTTGGATCGGTAATATCGTGAAATGTCAACTGGGTTAGGCCCTTGTTATCAGCTTTCTGCATACAATTTCCTGACCGAAGGTGCGCCTTCATTGTCGAATTGCCAGTACGTGATCCGAGACTGCCGTCTAGCCTCTCAGTGATTACAGCTGGGTGGCCCCCAACAAAACCACAGCGGATACAATGGATCTTAACAACCCCTGTAGCAGACTCGGCGATTTCTTCGAAGTAGGACCAGTAATCAGAACGAACCACTTTTCTATCCCACGTTGGCTTAAACCGCTTGTCAGGGTCTCTAGCCTTGTTCCTAAGGCAGAATTGGGTTCTCTTCCACCAATCGTCAAACGGCGCGGGGTTATCTCGGTCAACAACATAATATGTCGTGTTTTTGATCGTATACTGCCGGAGACCATCGACACCGATTCCGTCGGACGATTCGATCGCAGACCTTGCTTCGGTAAAGCTTGACTGGGGCTCAGTCGGCTCTGAATCAGTGTATAAAGAGGCCATCTTAGAAATAGAGTAAAAGACAGGTTTAAGTAATGATAAAAAGTGGTAGTCAGTGTGGTAGTCAGTATGGCAGTAATGTATTATCGTGATTGAAGTACTTAATAGAATATTATCAATTCATCACAGGAAATGGGTTGAAGCAGAATGTATATTAATTCCTGGTCCACCAGCCCCCCATATTCTGCCCGAATCCGTTATTCATATGCTGCAGAACTATGTCTGCGAAGGGCGTACTAGTCGGTGTGGTAGTCAATGTTCCAGCCTATCAATCGAATAGCTAGATGCCTTGTCACATCCTCCTTTTCCAAATAGCGTTCCCTCGCTCACCGTTAGGGCGGAGCGATAGCAAGTATCCATCTCCGATCATCGCATCTCTATCAATTGGACAGTCGATGCGGTAGGCGTCAGGGGGGGCTTCGCAGTTCCCAGGCGGTTTAAAGACGAGTTTAAAACCATCATACATCATGGCAGCCGTCTTCGAGTCGCTAATCTTAGAAAGTCCCCATCTTTCATCGTTATCAGGCGCATCCCACAAGCAAGCCGGGAAGGGGAATTCATATTGGTATCGACCAGCCCAAGCGAGGAACCCAATTAAAATGCCTCTCTCGTGTCGATCCTTGAAAATTTGGTGCGCAAAAGGCGCCGTTGAGAAAGTGGCGCTCTGGTTCTGATTTAAAATGTCAAATAAGCCGAAAAGAGACTACCACGCTGACTACCGCATTAAACTTACGAGAAAATATCGAATCGCGAAGGGGAGCTTCGGCCATACGAGGTGAAGATCTAAATGACCCTTCGAGTAGAACGCCGGAGATGACAGCCAGTCGTCCAACGCCGGGGCATTACGAACTATCCACTCAAGTTCTGCGCAATCTTGGTCTTCGGCGTTTAAGCCGAAAGATTGCCAATCTGCTCGGATCAGCCTTTGCAGTTCGGCACTCGATCGCTAAATGCGGTTAGTATAGGACTACCACATAAACTACCACACTTACCAAAATCTCCACGGTGTCTACCAGAAGCCATAGCTTTCCAAGGCTAAGCCGACCGTCTAAAGTTCTCGCTCGGTTGATAGCTCGGCTCTTATATAGAACCGCCTTTCGTGCTCGTTGCCATCGTTTGGTAAAGCGACGCCATTCTCCCAATTCGATCCGATTATAGAAATCATATTTGGCAACAGTTCGCTTGTATTCCGCCCAGAACCTGAAATCCGTCGAATTAAATGTTGGCGGGAGGGGCATACTGTTTAGGATTTCGAAATCCTGATCGACCGAAGTTTCCATATCTTCATGGAGATCTTCCCAATCGCTATCGTTATCGGCATCGGGATAGAGCTTATTGAGAAATAACTTTGGGTCCTGCGCAGTCCTAGTCGTCGCAGGGACCGCCGCAAGGGGATGGAGCGAGTGATGGACTCCACGATTAATCCTAGATTAGTTAGTAAAAATACTAGTTACCACATTGACTGGTACACATAACTGACCTTTCGTTGGTCACTTGTTCGACCGCTACACGAAGTAGCTCTTGTCGCTTGTCGGTCCCACTCGACCTGAAATTTGGTAACAGCGCTATAGCTGCCCGTGCGCGCGATACCGCAGTCTGATCAGCCTTTTTGCGGTTCTCATATTCGACGCGACTTGCATCCCGGGCATCCCGACGCTTTCGCTCGCGAGCTGTATTCGCATTGGTAGAGAGATCGGCCACCGCCTTCCGCTTAGCCGTCATTGTCGTCTCGTTAAGACTGCCGGTCACTGGATCATGGGATAGGTGAAGCTAGCAGAAAGTTAGTTATTGAGATTCTCACTTTTGAAATATTAATAACTCTTACAATCTTGTAACTAGCATGGAAAATAATCAAGATTGGGAGGCGTTAGGGTAAGGGGAAGAAAGTTTCATTAAGAGGAAAGTTTTGTTTTGGTAAAGGTTTTGTTTGGGGGATAGTTTATTTTGGTTAGGTTTTCATAAGTGAAGTGAAATACGAAGAAATTCAAAACACTTAGAAATCTCGATATTTTCGTTAACTCACCCGTTTTTCTTCCTTTTATAACATAACTCGACTACCACGAATACTACCGCACTTCGAATGCAGTAGTAAGCTTAAATCTTGTAGAATTAAGCTCGCAGGACGGTTAGCCACTTGAATGTCACTTTCGACATTAATTTTCACTTCTTACTAATTTTTATATATCCTAGGAGATCTCCCATCTTGAGGAAATTGCTCTTGGTGACCACCACAAGTACTACCACGCTGAGATTACTTCGTTTGGTCGAAAACGATCAAGATTTGCCAGAGTTATTGGTAAAAAGGACTTGGAATTATTTTCAGAAGTGATAACCTGGTGAGAAACCTTACCTTTACTCATAACAACGTCGACTAACCAACAACCTAGTCCTCTCTCTTTACCTTCCTTTTTCTCCTCCATACCTAGCCTTCTCTACAACCGAAACCTAACAAACAATACGGTCATAACTCTACCAACGATTCGACGAATAACCATGCCATCTCAAAACCGCCCCCCCGGCGGAAAGCACACTCCTGGCAGAAAGCGCCCCCCAGCCAGGAAACGGTCTACGAATTCGAGAAAGCCTGTAAGGAAGACGAAGACTGGCGCATACTTCAAACGTCCTGGCAGTAAGTTTCTGTGTAGTAGTCGGTGTAGTAGTAGCTAAACCTCTAAGTGTCTGTGCTTCGAGAGATCAAGCAGTTGGCAAAATCAACCGAACTGCTGATTCCGAAATTGCCATTTGCTCGACTTGTGCGCGAGATCTCAGGTGACTTCAATTACGATGGAGGGTATCGTTTCCAGAGGTCTGCGCTCGAGGCGCTCCAAGAAGCATCAGAAGCATACCTTGTAAAGCTTTTTGAGAGTATGTTTTTATTTACTTCCTCCTGACTACCACATAACTAACACACCGTAGATTCCAACCTCTGTGCCATCCATGCCAAGCGCGTAACTCTCCAGGCGAAGGATATCGAGCTGGTGGAAAGGTTGTGCGACGGGTCTTTCATTTCGGTTAGGAAGCACGCTCGAAAGTAAAACGTGAAGGTAAGGTCTGAATCCTACCATGATTATATAAACTAATATATTTTAGTTATGGCTTAACGTATATCATGAGTTATGGGTGTCAATGGATGGCGTTTTTATAATTCTCCAATTTGTCAGTTAAGGCGAATAACAAGTCGCAGGTTTGGGTATACGATGGGTGAGTGAGCATCGTATACTCTTAGATTAATGATCCTGCTTAATGCGCCGGATAAACTTCTATAGCCAGAATTAAATAGAAAGCTTCCTACTTACATTTTATACCGCGTGACTAAACTACCATATCTGACTACCACATCTGACTACCACATCTTCTATATGCTACTAGCTAGCTAGTTCCCCACATGGGCCTCGCAGAGAGGCCTGACGGGCGTATGAATCTCTCTCTCTATATGCTACTAGCCTAATCTAGTCTAAAGCCCTTTTAATAATGCCAAGAAACCCATCAGATGCGCCAAGAAACCCAACCCATCTTGCGGTTGGGGTTGAACCCGCAGAAAACCCCACCCCGCGGTTCCCCCAAGGTTTCTTGGCATGGGGTGGGGTTGGGTTTGTCCCTGGTTGCCTGCGGGTGGGGTTGGGTTTGGGTTGCTTGGCATGCGGGTGGGGTTGGGTTGGGAATCCAGGTTTGGAGAACCCCACCCCACCCCACCCGCACGCCAAGAGAACCCCAACCCAACCCACCCGCACCCATCCGAGGCCTA